CAAACCACAAAACAAAAGAAAAAGGTAAAAAAAAACAAAATAAAGATTGGGTGGGTGTGTGGGTGCGGGTGCGGTGGGGGCGGACGCGGGCTTCGCCGCTTGGGGGTTGGCGGCGGTTGTTGTTGGGTTCTCGGTAGTTCGGGAGAGCAAGGGTGTCCCCGTGTTGGTCCCTGCTCGTCCAGGGCAGTGGTGTTTGTTTGCCGGGGCAGGGGCTTCGAAGTGGCGGGGTCTTGTGGCGGGGTTCGCGGGTGCAAGGCAGCGGACTGGACCTTTTTTTTAGCAATTTTTTTTTTTTCGAGTCTCCAGCGTGCTTGCCGTTCCCTCAGCAGCCCCGAACGCGCGCCGCGTTGATCGTCCGAAGAGCGGAGCCCGCCGACATTCAACGGGAATTCAACGGGGATTCAACTCTGTTGAATGTATTCAGCGGGGGTACAACAGGGATACAACGGGTACAACGGCGGTACAACGGGAGGGGTGCCTGTTTTTTTTCGACCTCCAGGCCTTGAGCGCGTGTCCGCGGCCGTTTGCGACCGACCCGTTGTTCGAGTTTCAACGGGATAGCCCCGTTGTTCCGTTCAACGGGGATTCAACGGGACCCCCGGGGGGGTACAACGGGTACAACGGGTACAACGGAGTTGTAAAAATCACGTTGCCCGTTGAATAGACACACAACCCCGACTCACTACCTTGTCTTAAAGATTGCTGACCCTTCTCTTCCTTTCATTGTCACGACTGACGGAAGTCAATATGGAATTGGGGTTGTGCTACAGCAAGATGACGGTAAGGGATATAGACCTGTTGAGTTTATGTCGAGAAGCCTTCCGTCAGAAAAGGTAGCCAACTCTACATATGAAAGGGAACTGTATGCCTTAGTAGCTGCACTAGAAACCTAGAAGCACTACTTGTTGGGAAGGCATTTTACTGTTTATTCTGACCACTCTACGTTGAAGTGGATCAAGACTCAGCCTAGACTCTTCGACAAGTTAGTAAGGTGGTCCGCTTTCCTTGACACATTTGACTTTGAGGTGAAAACCATCAAAGGTAAGTCTAACGTGGTTGCGGATGCTTTGTCCAGGCATGCAAATTTCTTTGGAACTATTGTCTTTTGTGAGGATTGAGCCCTCAAGAAGGGGCCTTGCCATGATGTACATGTTATGGGCTAAGGCCCCAGCAAGCCTAGTGCCCGCCCTAAGTGAAGGCGGGCCAGCAAATCAACAAGAGCCCTCTGTGCAAACATTTCCCGAAGTGGG